TCAGCGCTAAAAATAACTGATCGAAAGTGCGTTGAGAAAAAAAAATTAACAACAAATCTATTATTAGAAACAAGATCTACTGAAACTTCACATATAAAATCAAGTTTACTCTTATAATATTCCTCGAAAAATGATCCTAACAGGACAAACAATTTATTCATCTTTTATATACATATATATATGAAACAAAAATAAACAATATATATTTATAGCCCCAAAAGATATGCCATTTGCCAGCACAAATAAGATTAATTTAAAAAATAAAATCACTTTAAAAAACAAAACAAGATTAGTTTAATCTTTAAAGAAGACAATTTACAGAAATAGGAACAATATAATAATAAAATACCCATAAATAAATAAACTTAAACATTGATAAACCATAAAATTTATAAAAACCTATTATTTTTATAATCGCAAATACAATAATTTTTTTTTTACCGAAAAAAAGAAAAAAAAACGATCTAATGTTAAAGACACTCAGTTTCCTTTTCATTATTGTAAAACTATTCTATTTTTAAATGGGATTCTACTTCCTTTTTACACAATTTTTTATTCCGCGAGTAAAAGACACGTTCAAGGTTCAAGGTTCATGATACAAAGATATTCATTGAAATTCACGTGGCACTATTAAAGAGACATTTCTTCAATCAAACTATACATAAAAAAAATAAAATAGGACCCCAAAAATAATGTCCTGCATGTCTAGACGAAGATTTTTTTTTTAAATTCCTTTTTGCATCAAAAGAGAAAGGGGACTTGGAATAATAATAATAATAATAATATATATATATATACCTAACCTAGTGTAACCTCGTGTTTGTGAATTGTATAAGGTACATATAACGAGTTTAACAAATGCGAAGTATATAGTCGTAGGTCATGAACAGACCTTTTGTTCACTATATAGTTTATGACAAGACAGGATTTGCCAATAGGGAATATATACCTATATAATGGAAGAAGAAAGGGGTAAAGAAAGTAAAGGGTTGGCCTGTAGATATGCCATTCCCAGGAACCATTTCAAAACTATTTCAAATTGTCAAATGAAAACCTTTTGTCTGCACTTCTCTATTTCTATTCCCTTTTAAAACTCTTCTCTCTCTCTCTCTAGATATAAGTGTACCTCAATTCAATGCGAAATTTTCGATTCCAGAAGATAAAACGATAAAGAGACCATCTGAAGGTGATTCTTCCCATTTTTTCTATGAGAGGGTTTATACAACCCAATAATTACGTATAAAAATAATTTATCTCAATTTTATGACCCAGAAATATATCCTACTTGGTTTTTTGTCCGAATTGTCATTCTTAAAATGACGAATTTTTAATGATGCTGAAGTCCGCAACGTTTTTATAAACGAAAACGAAAAAATTAGATAATATCTATTACTTTGGGTTAAAATTAAAGTTATTCGGGGGTAACTGGTTTTTATAAAAGTATTAATTTCTTGAAAGTTTGTGCAAATTAAAATTAGAGGCAAATTGACATGAAAGGATCGATTTAACCCTTCCTAGGTGCGAGTTGGCGGTCGGACCCAAGTTGGGCCAACCATGTGCTCAGTCGGCCCATCTTGGGCAGCCAGAGGACGGGCCAACTAGCGAATTGATAACGTCAACCAACATAGGGTCGACTTGGTTGGCCCAACTATGGCTTCCAAAGGTTGGCCGACCTTGGCATTAAAATTTTTGCCGACCAATAAAAAATAAAATATAAAAATTTGTTATACGAATAACATATATTAGTAATTATTCTAAATTCATCATACAATTATTTTAGGTATTTAAACACTAAACGCAATCTTATATATTATGAGGAATTCCAACTCTCTATTAGAATAATTTCGAATAAGTTCGTTTTTTAATTTTGTGGTTTTGTATGGTCTAAAACAATCCTCCTATTATATGAGAAAAATTTCGGTGCGTAAAGTAAATTTCAGTGCGTAAAGTAATATTTCAGTGCGTAAAGTAAAATTCAGTGAGTAAAGTGAATCACTTTACACACCGTTTGAAAAAGAGCTTCTTTACACACACTTTTCGGTGTGTGAAATTTAACTTTAGAGGTTAGTGTTGCAAAAAATATATCTTATTAAAAATTTTTATTTAAAAAATGTTTAAAAAAAAGTCGAAAAAGTCGTATAATCCGAGGCCTGCAGTTATGATTTGTGAAACTGAAACATTTTTTTAGGTTATAAAAATGAAAATATGTGTTTTGACGGCAGAAACGGTACTGACAACTTAAATAGTAGCGCTAAATTTGAAAATCTAGAAAATTAATTATTATTTCAATAAATAATAATTAATATTTTTTATTTAAAAATTACTAAATATTCATACTAGTAATGAAAATATATCTAATATTGTAAAAATATTAGAAAAAATAATAACAATTCAAATATTCAAAATCATTCTACAAATGCTGCCAACCTAGAAATTTGAAATATTCCGGCAAGGATAATTTTGAGTAATTTAAAGATGAACGCAACGTTTTTAAAAACGAAAAATTAAAATAGAATGATTTTTTCAAGTCATTTTATTATTAATTTTGAATTGCACAAACTTTTAAGAAATTAATTTTATGCCAAAGTAATACATATTATCTTATTATTTTTTCGTTTTCGTTTATAAAAACGTTGCGGACTTCAGTTTCATATTTAAAGTTTGTCACTTATATACTCAATTTGAATTCGAACTTACATTTTTCAAAAAGAAAAGCATTTGTATAGATAATTTAATACAAATAGATTTTTTTCTGTGTTAAAAATAAATTCATTATATTTGAGTTATTTAGTGCATTATTTTAAATATTTAAATTTAATTTCAATTAATTCGAAATAGTCCAAATATGCGCTATCTGATAATTCTGATAATGATTCAATGCAATGCAGAACATTTCAATGCAAGTATGTAATTTCGGATAATTCAGATGCTTTAATGTATATTCAAAATATTTCAAGATGAATTCATAATTATTATATATTATAAAAAGCAATTTTAAATAATATTTTAGAAAAATTCATAAATGATTATTATCTATGTATCAAAAAAAAAAAAAAAAAATTGAAATATTAAACCTTTTTGTTTATTGTTATTTTCTAAATATTTACAAAAGAAAACATTTCACGTTTTTTTTAGACTGCAAAAAATAATTTTTATTATGATAAAAATTAAGTCATACAACTTCAGATTGCGAATTAAAATCAAATTTAAAAAACAATAATCACTTTAGATTCAATTTACATGTCATTAATTTTAGATCAATCATTTTCGCAAAAAATAAAAATACTTCTCACATCTTGACTTTGTCTTTTAAAAATTATATCTTGGAATTTAAAAATAATTTTTTTTTAAGTTAATCGATTTTTAAGTAATTGAAGATAAATATAATAATTAATCATGCCATTTGCAAATTTAAATTTGACAAGAAAACTGAATAGACAGGAGAAAAAATATATTAAAGATTAATGATAATAACACTGTGCATTATAAGATTTATTTTAACAAATTTTAGATATAATTTCCCTATATAAAAAGATAATTATAGAACTTAATTATTTATAAAACAATAAAAAAAAATAATCGAATCCCTCACATCGTAATGTTCTAATATAATTATTCATGACTATGTAAATTAATATTTATATTATATTTGCAACAACAAATTATTAGCAATAATTATTTAACACACACTCAAATTTATGAAAATACAAATTTTCTTCTTGTTGATTAATTAGTATACTTCTAATTTATTAGACAACAGTTATTCATTACGCTCATTATAAAAGATTTTGAAACTAAAGACAGCTTTGTTTTCTGTCATCATTAATTTATTATTACAAATATGCTCCATATAATTTTCAACGCTTGCAAACTCTATACAATTAATTAACTACAAATATAATTATATTAATCATTTCTAACTATGTATTCATATAATATTTATATGATTAACTCTACTATAATTAGTGCGATTTTTTTTATCACCTTTAGAGTTTATTATCATATATTTAATGTTTTGAAATAGAGAAAAATATTTTGTCACTAAAAAGTTCGACCGAAACCAAAACTTATATGTATTAAATAAAAAAAAAAAAAATAACAGTCTAAAATATTTTGTTTCAACAAGTGATATAAATCTATATAAATAAGTTCTTAAAGTGAAAAGAAAAAGAAAGGTTTACTCAAAATTTTTGGAGCACATCCAAAGTTCTTAAAAATTCATACAAAATTTGGGTGTCAGAGTTAAAAATATATTTCTCCAAAAAAATGATTATTTTGCCTTTTTTGTTTCAATTATATATATATACACAGTTTACTCTTAAAAGAATAATTTCAACTTAATCCAAATATATGAGAAATTAAAAAAAAATTTATAAAAAATACGGCTATAACTGCATGAGCAAGAAATAATTGTAACGCTAATCTTTTAGATGGAAAATATAGGTAGTACAAATTTTAAAAAAATAATTTTAGTCAATGAGAAAAATGTTTTCTTTATTTGTCTTTAAAAATAAAATTTCCATTTACTTTTTTTTCATAATTAACAACTTATTGGACTAACAAAAAAAAAAGTATTATACAAATGCCAATAAAATGTTTTGCTCTTCTATAGCCAAATATTTTTCTCAGTGCACAAAATTCAATTAAAAACAATACAGTATAACTCGTATAAAATAAAAACTATAAAACTCATGTTACGAAAGAATAATATAGCAACAAAAGGAAAGAAAATTGGCAATCTCTTGTCAAAAAAAAAAAAAAAAAAAAAAAAGACGTAACACAATTAATACCTCAATCTCATGTGATTAATGCACCGTTTTCAGGAGTCAATCACGTGCCAAGGTCATGAAACTTGCCAACAAATGAACCACACACAAACACACTATACACAAAACGTGGAGACACTTGTTACCAAGGGGGAAAAAAAACACTGTTTTTTTTTTAACAAGTCACATCTTACAAATATCTCGAAAACCACACTTGCTTCGTTTTGCACTCACAAAATATGTCAGTGGGTTGACCTCTTTAGTGGAACAAAACCCGGACAAACGTTGAAATCCCCAGCGATTTTCGTCGTTAATTTCAAGTTCTCTTTCTCTCTTCCTTTAATTATTATCAATGACAATAAATGAAAAATAAATAAAATTAAAAACCAAAAGAGAAGTGATCATTAAATATTATCAAAACAAATGCGACACATTGACGTTGTTATTTTCATGAATTTGCAAAAATTTTAAACAAATCATTAATAACCGAATTATTCATTTATCGTTAAAAATAAATTTAACATTAATATTATGAATGAGAATAAAAAATTAAAGAATATAGAATAATAGTGTGGAATTTTAATCTCTCTCTCTTTCTCTCTATCTCACTAAGAGAAAATCGTGTTCACGGCGTGATGGTCGTATCGAAACTGGGACAGCGGTAGAAACCAGATGAAAATAGCACGGCGTCGAGACGTTCCCCCCTACGTCCCACCAACTCACCCATCATACCCCAAACCCCTGCCCCACAACACCCACTTATATATAATAGTGTCGAACATAAGCATCACACTTCAATCACTAACCCGTGGTTTAAAATGACGTCATAAACTCCCAGTAGACAAGGTATAAACTATCATTTATATATATATATATAATGTAAGTTCAGTGTTTGATATATGATAATTAACCAAATTTTCAATATCAACACTGTATTATTATGGAAGATAGTCACAAAAATATTTTTTTTATAAATGTTTCAAATTCCTTTAGCATCTCAGAGAGAAACAGATTTTCAACACAAAAATTAAATATTTCTAATTCCTATACATAATTAAATAAAAATTAACATCATACTTTTGATATTGTGACGTCCTGGTATGTCAAAAAACTCACACTTTTCTTTTTGAAATTTATCTTAGGACGAGGGATGCAGAATGCCCTAATTTATTTTTATTAATTATCTTTTAATTTATGAATTATTTTGTATATGTATAAGAATGTTTCCCCGTGTAAATGTATGTTTGAATGAATGAATATTATATTTTACTAATGAGCAATTCCATGGGATGTGATCACAAGAATTTTTGATGATTGGAGCAATTTTATTGAAACCTTGTGGATATGTTCCTTTATTTGTACAGAATGAAAGCCCACAAACAATTTTTCAAAATTTTCAAAATTTTTTGAGATATCTCTAATTAACAATTTATGTCATTTTTTTAAAAAAAAAACCATGTAACTTTTTTTTCTTGTTATCTAAATGAGATCAACTTTTTTTCAAATTTCTCACAAAAAGATGCTATTTTAAGAAAAAAATAGTTAAAGAAAAAAAAATTTTTTTTGCCCGGAAAAAAGTCAAAAAAAAAAAAAATAATGGGACAGCAAGAACTTTGCGAGAAAAAAATTAAAACGTCCCGTGCGGCACGACGGGACGCGTGCATCTTAGTTTTCAAGTCCATTATATAGTATGAAAACTTGCAAATATCTCGAAAAGTACGAATTTTCGTAAAAAATGTTCAAGACAAAAGTTGTTCCAAACATTTTTGGAATTTGTACCACAAGTCTAAACCCAGAATTTCATTACGGTTACGAAATGGATGGAAACTAACTTTTTTATTGTGGGTCTCACATTGGGCCCCCAAAGATGAGATTTTTCAAAAATTCTCCCATGGAATTGCTCTAATATCATTTATTTTATATTAATATTATTTTAACTGAATTTACTATTTTTACAATTTTTACACATCTTTAGAATTTCAACATTTAAATTTATTATTCAACCATAAAGAATAAATGTTCGATAATCTGGTTCCGGGGTTTTCCCTCCACATTTTCAGGAAACATGCAAAATCCTTTTTTTTGTATCTATAAAAAAATACCATAAAAGCTGTATCAATGAAGAAAACGCTTAAACTACACTGAAAAAAATTTGCTTCGCATTAATGACTATATTAAGCATATCAACTTTAAATCTAGTCAGCGTAACCAAGCATCCTAGTCAATTCAGTTATGTAGCTTGGTTAATATTGTCAAAGTCGATTTAGTAGAATTGACCCCTTCTTTCTTAGTTATATAAACTAAGGTGTTTGGTTAATATCGCATGTATCTATAGTTAATTTTGCTAAAGTTTAATTAGTCAAAGTGATTCTAGCCAATATGTAACTAAGATATCTGGTTATTCTGATAAGCTTCCCTATAGTCATTCCGACTAATTGTCGAAATCAACATTGACCAAGATTGCCTAGTGGGTTCCTCTTGTAACCAGGCAAATTAGTCAATTCCTGGTATACGAGGGTTAGGACCCACTTGGAACGATTCCCCGGAAAGTGCCCCCTGGAGGTTCTATCAGAATTCCGCCGGAATTTCCAACGTAATTCCGTCGGAATTCTATCGGAGTTGCAAAGAATTTCCGATGGGATTCCGACGGAATTAGGACTCTAAAATTTTTGAAAAAATTAATCAGAATTCCGTTGGAAGTTCCGGCGGAATTCTGGTAGAACCTCCAGGGGGCACTTTCCGGGGAATCTTTCCAAGTGGGGAATTTTTTTCAGTGTAGAAAGAGTATCGATACACATAAGGATCTTAATCCCTAAAATTTAAGATCTCAATAAATAAAACATCTAAAATGAATGAATGCAATAAAGGATCATTTATTCTCAGAAATGACATAATTCCATTAAAAGTGTGCGAGTTAAGCCTTGCAATAAAATTTCAATTAGACAAAACAGCAAGGGACCCAACTCCACACATAGCGTAAACATTTGTTTGACAAATGTTTTATTGCACCTCCACATCATCACCTGGTACCTGGTCCACGTGGACCCTAAGGGTTTTTAATACTCAAATTCTATGTTTAGGGCGTGATTTTTATGTTGTTTTCAGCAAATCAGAAACCATAATTTTCTCCTTTTTCCGAAATTTTCCCTCCACCTTCAACTTTTTGCAAGTTTTCTTAAGAGTGAGAATGAACGACGCGGTTACCCAGAGCGTCGTCCACAGAAAGATTTTGGCGCAATTTTTAAAATCAACCAATCAAAAATTCTCCATAAAGTTGTGATTGGTTAAAATTAAAAATCGCGCCAAAATCTTTCTGTCGATTGTTTGTTCGGCCATTTGCAATTTAGGACAAATGAAAATTCTATCAATTAGAAATTCTGTTAAATGATTTTTCGGTTAAGTAAAAATTCTGTAGTATGAAAAATCGGTTATATGGAAATTATATCAAATAATAATTCGAACAAATGAAAATTCATCACAAAGAAAATTCTATGCAATAAAATTCTAACCAATAAAAATTCTTTAAAATGCCTATTATGTTAAATGAAAATTCAAGTAAATAAAAATTCTATGAAGTGAATTTTCAGTTATATAAAAATTCAGTAATATAGAAAATCGTTTTGATGAAAATTCTGAAAAATACTAATTCGAACAAATAAAAATTCGGCTCAAAAATAATTATGACAAATGAAATTCCATAAAATGAAAATTCTAACTAATGATTTTTAGAATATAATCATGCGTCGTAAATTTTATTACTTATAGAATTTGCTTTTATTGTAATTTTCATTTTTTTGAATTATTATTTAACAGAAATTCCATTTAATCGAATTTTTATATTACAGAATTGTTACTTAAACGAATCTTCATTTTACAGATTTTTTATTTCACCGAATTTGAATGTGTCAAAATTACAATGTGCCGGAATTTTCATTAGACAGAATAGCCATTTAAAAGAATTTGTTATTTTATATAAAAAAAAATATGAATATATATATATGTGACGTTCCATGAGGAAAGGGACCTTAGCTGCAATAGACGCATTTTCCAGAAAAGGTATTTAAAGTAGAGCGTCCCTGATTGGTTGAGACCCTCCATCGAAAATCAGCCCCACCACCTTACTACTACATCGTTCCTACAGCTCACGCTTACGACAAGTATACTAGTGTAGAAGTGGTGGGGATGGTTTCTGTAGTCCGTGCTGGAACGCGATTAACATGGTCATGATTAATGCTTTATAACAAAAAAACTAAATAGAAAAGTACAATTTTTAACTTTTGTATCTGAAAGAGCAACTCAAGATCTATCGACTGATATCAAAAACTCAATTTTCATTTTTTTGCAGCTAAGGTCCCTTTCCTCATGGAACGTCACATATATATTATAAATATCGTTTCTATACTGATAAAAAAATTATTTGATTCTAAGAATTAGTTGCTTTATCAAATAAATATTTAATTGTATTATTTTGAATTAATTAAATGGTATTTGTTTCAGATATTGAAATTATTGGTCCAAATACAATTTATTTAATCCAAATAAAAATTACGAGGTTAAAGTAAGTATTTCAAGTAACCGATTATTTGAATCAAATAAATTGTTTTTCAGTATAGCGGAATTATTTTATTATTAAATATTTAAAGATTATTAAAGATTTAAAATACCTTCTTCAAAATTAAACTTCATTTAAAAATGAAAAACGGAAGCAGAATGCGGAAATTAAAAACGAAATTCAATATAGGATGTGACATTGAAAAGAAGAACAAGTTAGTGACAAGACACGAACTGCGATTGCATATATAAAAAGAAATAATCGGAAAAGGGCTAAATATGAGATAATTTTCTGATGACCTTTAAAAAAAAAAAAAAAAAAAAAACAATTTTCAAGGCCAATACGAAGAAGATGAAACTAATATTTCTCAAATCACCTGTTTTTCGAATTTTCAATATTCTATGCTATAGAAAACAACTAATTTGTATTATTTATACCTATATATGTATATATCAGTTTGCTAAACACATATCATGTAGCCACGATATACATATTGAAACAATATCTGATGCTGCATTGCATGTTTTGAATGCATATTTTCAGATGGAGTTTCTGGCACGTGCGGATATAAATTATGTGATCGTTTTGTATCCCTGACAATCACAGGGTATCTCTGACTCTAACATAAGGTCAAGGTTTTTCGAGTATCGGATGGCGGTCACAATGTAGTCGAAGGTAAAAAAAAGATAACAAGGTTGCTTTTCTTCGATCGTTTAAAGACATTGAAAACTTAACAACTTTAAAGAAGACTCACTAATAATATAACCTGTTTCATATATATAACTCAATTAATTCAATTGCATCTCTCAAGAACCAAGTCAAATTAATAACTAAATAGAACTTTGCTCATTAATTTTACTTTCTAAAAAAAATTATATCGTGTATAATTTAACTTTCATCATATGTCATCTTAAATTATAACTTCAATTTTCTAAAAAAAGAAGAAGAATAAAATCATATTACTTTCTTGAAACAATGGAAACTTATTTTAAATGTTCTTAAACATGCAAGGTTTATTTTAAAATTTAATACCTATTGATG